TGGTGTGGAGCCGCGCTTCTAAGTCTGTGGGCCTGGCCTCCAATACTGCTAGCATCTGACATTTATTACGAGTACCATTATCGCTAAAGGAGGCAGAGGAATAACTGAACATGCGACACTCCGAGCAAGAGAAAGGAGGAGAGGAAGAGGGGGAAGCCATTGCTTCGATTAAGCTAGTAGCTTAGCTAGCTTCTAAACTAGCCGACCTAAAGTAGCAAGTTAAACCGTACCTGCATACATAGAAAAATGTCAGACTCAGAGAGATACTGAATTGAATCACATTACTGAATTAGTCACTGACCATTTACTTACAAGGATCTTGGCAAAATTTAGTATGAATGATGCTGAGACTGACTGTGCATGGTTCAAGGGTGAGACACTCAGAGAAACTGCCGCTCTTGTTTTCTGCATCTGCCATTTACTAGCATTATCTGTAGCACCAAGGCCTCAGTGCCACCCCGCCAGCCAGGCCCCGCTGTGTCTGTGGGGGCCTTGAGCTTATCAGGCATTCTGCTGGGATACTGCTATGTGTGTGCGCCTGTGTGTGTTGGGTCAGTGTGGGGCCAGTAGTGAGTCCATGCTGAACCTGAATGAAATTCTCACTGTGCCTGGCTCAGGCAACTCCAAATGACAGACCACACTGTCACAGAACTTGTGCTGTAAATCTGAGTTTGGGGCCAGCACCGTGGAAGCCATGCAGAGAGGACGCAGAGTAGTGGCGTCTGTGTGTTTGAAGATAGACGTTACTGTGCACTGAATGTAACAAACTGTAAAAATGGAAGTGACTGAATTTAGAGTCGCCGCCCAACCTAAACTGGACTGTGGGAGGAAGCTGGAGTACCTGGAGAGAACCCACGCAGGCACAGAGAGAACATGCAACCTCCACACAGAAAGGCCCTGGGTTGGCCCGAGCTCAAACCCAGAATCTCCTTGCTGTGAGGCGGTAGCGCTAACTGAGCCACCCACAATACGTTTATTCATTTATCATGAAGCTTAAAAAATGAGTCAGGAGCAGTCCTTTTATGAAACAAAATAAAATATTACTGCAGCAGATGGATCTTGTAAACAAAAGTAGTCATAGTCACAGTCGAACATTGGTGTTTTAGTATCCCAGGGCAGGTTTAACCGTCTCTGTTCGGTGGCCGTGCTGACTGGTACGCCCCCAATCAGAGCGGTCGTGAACAAACTGTATATATACAATCTGGGGTGGGCGAAAAGTAACTAGGCATTAAAAAGTGGCTATAATCCTATAATGCCTAGTTACTTTTCACCCACCCTGTAGTAGTGCACAGGACTATCCCGAATGTTTCTGCGAGAAGTATCCAGGACTGTCTCAGTCCTAAACGGGCATATATTGACATCGTCCGGCAGTATTAACAAATTGTTTTGCATCTGTCAGTTTCCTTACCACCAGTGTCATTTCTTGAAATGGGAAAACTGGAATGCTGCCACACAGAAGCTCTAAAAGTTGGTGATGAAGCATCCGCTATGTCAGTTTAAAATTCTGCGACCAGCATGTATATACTAGCAAAATAACCATATGTAAAACTCTGGTAGATCCCGCCACAGTTGCACAAAGGTATTGAGACATTTTTCTGTTGTGATATCGTGAAATTACAAATAACATTACATCCCTAGCTTTTACGGTCCAGTTGTTATGACTATTGTCTTGTCTACCTGTTCACTGAGGTAAATCTTTCTGATCACATCCATATCATTGATATCAGATAACAATCTCATACTTTCAAAGTGTCAGCAGCAAAACCTTTCCTTGACAGTTTTGGATACAGCAATTTTACACAATAAATCAGAGCGCAGTACTCAACATACACACAGACCACAGTGAGACAAAAAAAACACAGAAAAGACAAATAAATCACTAAAAGTTTCTCTAATAAAGCACTAAACAATTTGGTGAAGAGCAACACAAATTTACATTAGCTGTTTGCTTTGTTTGATGCTTTGGACTCTCCCATTTGTTGTGTGTGTTATACATCACCTGGTTTGTCGCAGGGGGATTGGGAGCGAGATACATAGAAACGGGTCGAAGGTGTTGCTCTGCTTAAGGCAATGAGGGCATGTCAGAGAAGACCTGAAGGGAAACAGAGACAGAGAGCAGCCTTTTAAAAACATTCTTGCCATGTGCTACCTTAGTTTTCATAGTCTTGAAAGAAATATTTTACTCTCCATGACATCTTTTCCAGTTTTATCTCAGTGCTGTTCCATTTTTACTTCAGCCTGTTACACTCACAGGTTCAATACTAAATTAAAACGTTGCATTATAACAACTATGAGAGAAGAAAGCTCTTTTAGCTTTGCATGAGTTCAGACACAGTGCTGGGCAGATGGATGGATAGATATCGACATCTGTACATGCCAAATTCTCCTAAGTATGGAATAAATGTGCCATTCAAACTGACTGCCTTATGTATGCATGCTGTAAAAATCTTCATGGTTGGTATATGTGCATATTCCATGTGTACAGTGAATGCTAAGCACTGAAACAGGCCATCTGGTCTTGATCTGCTTAGAGGTGGGATGCTGCTCAGAATCTTAACACAAAAAAACCTAAAACTTAAAATTATGTAGCTGAGAAACTGCCTAAAGAACATACAGAGCTGGAAAGGAGAAGAGGAAGGAGTACAGGACTATAGAGACAGAAGAAAGCAGAGAGGAAAAGTAAAAGAATAAAGTTGAAGGGCTATTTACTTATTTAAAATAAGGGTTTAAGCGGGGAAAAAGGAACAAAGATGACTTGGGGTTAAAGGGGCTTTTCCATTATAGGAACCTACCAAAATGTGTAGTGTCGAGTACCGCTTGTCGCGTGTTCTGCGTTTGTTTCCACTACACTCAGACTGCTTTGAGGTGCGTTCTCAAAGCTAAATTTCAGCACCCTTCAGGAGGTAGTAGTAAAATCAAGTACCAGGACTGCACAAGGAGAGGGGGTGTGTGCATGCAGAGCTGTCACCGGTGTGTGGTTAAATGTCTTCGAACCTCAAGCATTAACATTTCAAGCACCGTGTGTAAACACAGCTGACTGTGTTTGTGAAAGAGCAGCAGCTCCTCCCTCCTCTAAACAGAGGCCGACAGAGAGAAAATATAGTGGAAAAACAAAGCAGGATGGTCCACGTCCCCCCTGGAACGTATGCTTGGTGATGGTGAAGTATGGGGTATACCGCTCATTAGGTTCCATGACAGGAAGGGCAGCAGAGATATTCAAGGTTGGAAAGGCAGAGGAAACAAAAGTGGAGAGCAAAGAAAGAATTTTGTTACCTCTGGACAAAGCCAGGCTACTTGTTTCCTCCTACTTCCTGTTTTAATGTTAATCTATACTAACTGGCTGCTAGCTGTAATATTAGCAAAACCCTGGGCTAAACAGTCCATTTTAGTTATTCTATGACATACTGAAGTGTTCTATAGCTCTGACATTGCTCTGTAAGAATCAGGTAATGTTTGTGGGTCCTGGCCTCAGAAATTTAAGGAAGTCTTCAGTGTGGTTTCATTGCAAATACTACCAGGAATCCCTCAAAGGACTGTGTGATGGAAACAAGCAGCAGTCTGACATTGACATAGTGTGGAGATAGGGGTGTGACAATACGCTTAGCTCACGAGATGATACATGATACTGGGTTCATGAGAATGAGATTATTTTAACACTATTTTTAAGAAATCTTCAAAAACAAAATATATGACTGATAAAAGTACCTTTCATTTGACTGAAAGTCACAAAAAGCAAAACACTGCAGGTACATTTTGAAATGTTTTAACTAATCATCTTGTAATGAATGTCACTTCATTTCCATTTTCTGAGTATGAATGATCACATGCAGTAAAAGACAACAATATGCAAGCACTTTAAAAGGTTTTGCCACAAACTGAACTGACAGACTCAATTAACCTGTCATCCTTGCCTAAAGCTAACTGAAATCCAGCTTATTCATGCAGCGTGCAAGGAAAAACAACATGTTCAGTCTGCACACAACCCTCTCATAGTGCAGGAATGTAGTTATATTATTTATCAGACATGAATTAATGTAATTCAGTGGTTGTGTTGCCTTCTGTGTATTCAAGTTGTAGTTGGAACCGATATTAAAGCAGTGGTTCAAATTTTTACACTTTCTTTTCCAACAAATATTTCAGAGAGTTTCACAAACATGGCTGAGTCAGCAATTTGACTCCATCAGATATAAATGGTTTATCCTTTATAGGTGCAACTAAAACTGTTGAGGTAGCATTTTTAAACTGTGGTCATTCTTCAGCTTGGTATTATTATATATATGGTATTATGTTTCATCTCCCTGCGTCTCACTATCATGTCTGCCAGCTGAGCTGTATCCAAGTTTGTGAAGATACAAATTTGTCAAATGTACAAATATGCTGGAAATAATACAACCGTTTTCAAACTCCACATTTCCTCGCTGTCACTGTTTCGACTGGCGCAGCGTGGCAGCCAGACGCAGACTCGCTAATGATGCCAGCTTGTACTCAGTAAAGCAGACTGTCAGGCTGTAGTCACTCATACAAACACAGAACACATACAATGTAGCCCACACCCTACACTCAGCGTTTATACTGAAATTCACAAATGTGCATGCAGGAACACACCCACAAACACAAAGCATAAAAACTTGTGTAACATCTGACAGTGTTAGCAGTATGATGAAGAATATTAAATAAGTATTCCAGGTGTCAAACCAAAACACCACCAACCTTTAATTTAGACCACAGAGCTACACACCCTCAAACACACATGCACAGCACACCAGCAGCTGCTCTTAAAGAATGAAGAGCTGCTCAGCAATCCTCCCCTCTTCTTGGAGCTATATAAATAACACTCCACCTGCAGAATCTCTAAACATTATGCAGTATCGTGTTGCCTGATTAGGCATTTTCCCTACTGTTATTCTAAACTGAAACGCCTTGCAGCATAATACAGGGGAAGATGTGGATGATGCAACAACTGCAGCACAACAAGGGTCAGGATACTGGTGTATGAAACATAAAAAGCTACATATCAGGTTCTGGAGTCAGGGGTGAGCTGATGTCAACGTTGCTATAGGTAGAATTTAAAAAAGATTTGCACCCACCTAAACATATTACCAGTATAATCCATCCATCCATCCATTTTCCTCTGCTTATCCGGGACCGGGTCGCAGGGGTATAATTGTATAATTGTATAATTGTAGTGATATTTCCTCTGGCCTGTGCAAATGTAACTATGTTAGAAAGCAAAGGGAATGGCTAGTTACCTCTTACCAGTTTTTCAGGTGACGAAGTAACCACTTAGATTGAGAATATGTGGTCAGTCTATCCAAGTAATGCCAATTTAGAATTTGTTCCGACATTGAGTGCTCATACTGCGTTCCATTTGAAGTCGGACGTCAAAATTTCTGAGTTCTCAGTTGGAAATTTCAACTGGAACACCCCCTGATGTCAAAATTCCTACTCAGTAGGTTGGAGGGACCATGCCAACCCTCAGCCATTCTCAGCTCTGACTTCCGACCCGTAAAATCTACAGATCGCCTGACATAATGAATCATGTTAAGATGTGATGAGATGGACTATTTTTATACCAGGCACAGGAGTCACAGTCCAATCAAACAATTTGCAGAGCATTTACACAAATGCTTAAACAAATATACTGTAATAATAAAGTTAGAAAAGTAAAGATATATGCCCAAACGTTTACAGTGGTTACCTTTTTAATTGTATAAATTCACAGCTTGAAGAAATGTTGCCTGGTAGAAGACAAGGGGCTTAAAAATATTTGGTAACAGCTTTAAGTTCCTCTGTTCCACTTTTTATCAAAAATACACCTGGGCAAGTTTTGGTCCCACAGCCTCCAGACTTAAATGTTCTTGTCAGAGAAACTGATTGTTCATTCGCTGCAGTCTTGACCTTATTTAAGGTGTAAACTGTCAGCTGACAGCTCTGATGACAGTGATGGATGGAGGCACGAGATGAAGCCCCAAAACAACTAGACTGAGTTTGTTGCTGGTAAAATATGCTTGGAGAAAGCAAAACTTTAAATAATAGAACTTGGGGTTGCTTTTAGTGAAACCTTTCTTTTCATAAAGGCTGAAAGTTTCATTTTAATTTTCATGTTTATGCCCATACGACACATGGCCTGTTGAAGACTTGAGCTACAAGCCAATGAGGTTCACATAACTCTCAGTTACCACAAATCAGTCTATGAAATAAAAGAAAATGGACACAATGTATATTTTGTTTCCCACCTCCTAGTGTAAACGATGAATGCTCAAGTGTTGTGTGCAGTAGATGTATTTATAGAACTGACAGACTTTAGAGACAAAGCATCACTGCACATTCATGAAAAAGTACACTTCATAACCACCAGTCATGCAAAATATAATTAAAAATCACATTTATTTTTAAAAAGGAAATTCAGTTTGCTTACATTTCTTAAAGTTTCCAGTGTCCCCATCCTTTGTAGTAATTGGTTTCACCTTCTCAGTTTGTTGTGTCATAGCTTCTCATTCAATTTAATGGGAACGTGTCCAAATCCTTGACTGCAGTGAACTAGCATTCACATCACCTGGGCCCCGGGGGTGGCACCCCTAGTTGGAATGCAGCTCTTATTGTTGTTATTAGTTATACCTGTGTTTGACACTTCATAATACCCGCTGTCAGAAAACAGGCACCTTGCTTTATCAGTAAAAGAAAGAAACCTATAAAACCTCCAAGACTACAGTTAATATCAAGGCAAGCATCTATATACACTATACTTGCTTAGGAGACAGTTCCTGCTTAGTCATCTTACTTTAAGTCAAAAAAAATTATGCTGCCTAAACATTTTACAGCTGTAACTTAAGAGATGCATTATATAGCATGCACAGCTCACTACAGGTCAGTGCTCTTTCTGGGACTGAAAGAGAGAGAGCTCAGAGGGCTCTTTTATTTTTCTGTCTGCCTGTCGGTCAGTCATGTGTCACTGAACGTGGACTGGAGGGCACTTACCTCCCTCTATCGCAGTATGAGTACAGCCCTCCTGTCAGGGGAAATTAACTCAACTAAAGAGGCTGTTGAGACTCTCTCTCTCTCACACACTTTCCATCTCAACTTCACTTTCAT